ACCCGGTTTCTAAAGTTTCTTGGTGATACCCAAGTCATTAGTGTGAAGGTGGGCGCTTTGGGGAGACGGGCAGGGACCTCTTATTTCTCCGAGTGGGTTTCCAGTTGTGTCCTGTCTCGTCATGAAATCGTCTTCGACTCAGTGGAAATTAAAAAGTGATTCGTCCCTTCCCCGAAGAGAAGAATACCTATACATCTCTCACTTGTCAAGCCTCGGATATGGTAGCCCTACCCAAATTCCAAAGCCTACGATCCCAGAGCTGAGTTCAAGAACGGCCGCGTCCAAGGGGAAAGTCCTGATGCCAGATCTTATAATCAATGCGCACTGGAGGCAGGTGAGAATGTAGCCCCAAGACTTAGGAGTCCAAACCTAGATACTCAAAGCGCCCTTGCTAAATGTGCTGAATGGTCGCTAAATAGTGTATAAGAAGGCTCGGCAAACCCCTCAAGTAAATAAATATGTGACGAACTTTGAAACGAAGTGTGACAACCCGAAATGTAACAACCCCACAAAAATCTGTTGCACTTGAAAATATTTAATTTCAATCATCAGCAGGTATATTTTTTTCTAATCGTTAAAAATTAGAAAAATAAATAAACTAAATAATTGTTTTGCATATTCCTACATCCCTTGTGCGTGAATAAAAATTAAATATTTAAAACACTAACGCGTTTCGTTTAGAAAGTCGTTTAAGCTCTCTTTTTCAGCCCTTGTTGCTTTTTCCTTTAAATGAAAGGTAATAAGCCTGGTTTCTAAAGGTAATGGACCATAGAGTGTTATCAGTTACTCTTATTAATCAGGTTTATAGAATAAACGCAAAGTATTTTTTAAAAAATTGAAATTATTACGATGAACGCTTACCACCCGTCATTTGTTCATTAAATAATTTTGTTGGGCGAGTTGTAATCGATCTATAGAAAGCCGTTGTCGTGTGGATCGAGCAAGCGTGTAAGTGTAAGATTGAAGCTAGCGAAGCGAAAATTGCGTGTATATTAAGTGCGAAGATCAAACTGTTTCCTCTTGTTGGGGAATTACTACTTTACGCTCCAGTTGACGAGTTCCACATTTTCTTATCAGAAATATTTTGAAAAACATCACCAACGCAACGGAGAATGCGTTGCCTTGATCCTGCCTAAGACATATCGTGAGCGCGATTTCGAACTGCAGTGCGATAGAGAGATTGCGGCGGAGGCTTTGGGTTCGATGTTGCTTGTCAAAAATTGGCAGTACGCAAATGTGACCAGCGTTCAGTTCGTCGTTAGTTTCACGAAGTTAAAAACTCATTTTCTTCAGGAATGAAGTAGTGTGCGATTCTACAATTTTTCAGCATCATATTACATGTCCGTTATTGTGGGCGTGTAAGCATTGTAATATTACTAAGCGTGAAGATTAAATTGCACGTCAATTCAATTAGCCGCATTTATTTTATTGTGTAGTAGTATTTCTTTCTCCATTTCTTCAATTTAACTTTTACGTACATTTCAACTTACTTCACAAATCTGATAACCTATGCCACAGAGTAGGGGTCCCCATGGAGGGCAAATAAGAAAAAGAGAGTGAGACAGAGAGTGAGACGGTGAGACAGAGAGTGAGGCAGAGAGTGAGACAGGGAGTGAGACAGAGTGAGAGAGTGAGAGTGAGAGCGAGAGCGAGAGAGAGTGAGACAGAGAGTGAGAGAGAGACAGAGTGAGAGAGACAGAGTGAGTTAAATAAGTTGTCTTTTTTTAAAATACTGCTTAAGACATAAATCGAGATCCACCTATCCACGCTTGACCCCTCTCAAACCCACTGCCTGATCTGTCCCCTAAGCGTCCCCTCAACTCGTGTTGTACGGGAACACTAAGTCCTGGTTTTAAGGGCTTAGGATGCATCGTTGCCGAGTTATTCTTTATTACAACCGTGATGCGTTATGCTTTCATATCATAAAATTCAAATCTCGTTTTTCGCCTTCAATCAGTTTTATGAAGGACTGGGATGTAATTAACTATCCACCAGTGACACGCTTAAGGGGTTTTGTATCGACGGTTTATTATAAATTGACCAAAACCGCTATCCAACCTAGGCGTATTATGCGTCTCCTGTACAGAGAAGATGGTCACAGGTTGTTAGCAAAATGTCTCGGTTTTATAAAGCAGCGGCAACACTTGTACGGAGCTCTTCCACAGATTCTGCGGAGTCGTCGAAGCACTTTGCAAACATTCACTTTAGAAGGCCAGCTCGAACGCCCTTCTCCGTCGACGGCTTCCATCTTTCTGCCCCCTCTCCGCCTCCTTTTTTCGTTCAGATTGCACCTCCTTTACTTTATTCTTTTTGCTCAGCCTTCATTGAAATAAATATATGAGTCGTCATTGCCAACAATATTGTTTATTACAATAGCAGCTTTCGATAGCTTAACCATCATCATCAGTTTTCTGCTGTATGAAAGCCAGCTGTATGGTAGTCGTTTTTGTGGTTTCCATACAGCAGAACTGGTGATGATGGATAAGCCATCGAAAGCTGCTATTCTAAAAAACAATATTGTTGGCAATGACGACTCATATATTTTTTCATTGCAAATGCCAACGATAATTCACCACAATACCAATCAGCCTTCATTCCCAGTTCGGTAGCGGCTACACCTCCGCCAACCGTTGCCAAGTGAGCTGTCAACTCGCGGCCTCATCTCTGCGCCGGTTGTATCGGTGTTGCTCGCGTCTTTGTCGTCTCCGCCACAATCGCCGCTCCCG